CCCTAGAGGACAGAATGGAACTGCCCACAGGGTCTCCCAGGCTGTCAGTCTTCACAGAAGCAAAGCCCAAACCACACCCACTGCCTGGAGTCCATTCTGACCCACAGCGCCCCTAGAGGACAGAGTGGAACTGCCCACAGGGTCTTCAAGGCTGTCAGTCTTCATGGAAGCAAACTGCCTCATCCTTTCCCGTGGAGCAGCTGGCAGGTTTGAACTGCCAACCTTTCAGTTAGCAGCTGAGTGCTTCACCACTGCATGACCAGGGCTCCTTATAATGGCCTCTAACTGCTCATAGCAACCCCTCCTTGGGTTTCCGAGGCGGTATCTCTACGGAAGTAAACTGCCCAACCTTCCTTCTGAGGAATGGCTGGTGGACTTGAACAGCCAGCCTTCTAGTTAGCAGTCAAGTGCCTTAGACACTTCGCCACCAGGGCTTCTTATAATGGCCTAGAACTCCGTTACAGATTCCCGACTACCGAGCACGCCTCCTGCTGGTGGACACTGGGGCTGATTCTGGGATTTTGCTGTCACAGAAATGCCACATCACCACCCTGGGACGCTTGTGTTGAATGCGGTCAAATACACCCACAGGATCCCTCCCAGAGGTGGCACGGCTGTGGTTATTTTTGAGATGAGTTAGGAAACAATCAGGACTCAGGGATACAACCAGCCACTGGGCCCCGCTGGCCCTGGACCACCCCTCTGTCTGCAAGGCAGGGGTGCCCAAGGGCCTCTGCCCAACACTCCCGGGGTGACCCAGAACACGGCCCGTCTCTGCAGGTGCGCGGCCCAGGGAACGTCCTCCCTCCCTCTCCCCGTCTTTCAGGGTGCTTTTTAAAAAATTATTGTAAAAAGATATATGGCACGTCTGCCTGTTTTTCACGTGAATATTTTCGTGACATCAACCACATCCATCACGTTGCACGGCCCTCCCCAATAACCGCTGCCGAATTTGCCATGAACAGAAACTCGGTGCCTCGTCAGTGACAGCCCCTCCCCCCGCGCCCCCCACCCCTGCTTTGATGCCATTGTTCCTGGGTGTCCAGTCAACTGGACCCTGACTCGTGGTGACCCCAGACCATCAGAACTGCTCCGTGGGGCATCCAGGCTGTGACCTTTGCAAAGCAGGTCACCAGGCTCGTCTTCCAAGGTGCCTGGGGTGGGTTCAAACCACCAACATCTCGGCTCATAGGCCAGGGCTTAACCCTCTGTGCTCTGGTCGCCAGTAATAAAACGCTGGTCTCTGTACAGGTGCCAATTCCAGAGATTTCAGCCAACTGGGACCACACAGCGTTTGTCCTTCCGTGTCTGCCTGATGTCACTCAGCACCACGCACAGCCTGGCTGCGGCTCCGTTTCTCTTCACGGCTGAGGAGTGTCCCCTGTGTGTCTCCAGCATGTTTTGCTCAGCCATTCACCCGTCGGGGGATGTTCCAGTCGCCTCCACCTTCTGGCTACCGTGGAGGGGCCGCCACAGACACTGCTGGACTCAGGGCACTTCTAGGTCCCCTCCTTCCCACTCTTCTTGGGCCTTGCTCTAGAGGCGAACAGAGAAAGTAAACAGAACACCTGGCGCGGTCACGGTCCAGCCGCGTGGCAAAGGCCGGGGGGAAACGGCTGCGTCAGACCCATGTCTCACCCCGGGGTCTGCAAGGGGCACAGCCGATGGCTGGCACCAGGACGGGGACGCCCAGACGGTGGCGGACCGGTGGGACACAGCGTGACACAAGACCCGCCACCTGGGGATTAGCCCGGAGCTGGGACTGTGCCCAAAGGCGCCGGTGTGTCAGCCCCGGGCTGTGACACCAGCGGTGCTGCCCTGGGGCTTCGCGGCCTCACGGATTTCAGGGGCACCTCTCCCCAGCCAGGGGACACGTGTTCCCATGAGGCCACTGCTTCAGAGGCGACACTGTGGTGACCACATCTGGGACAGGCAGACCCGGGACCTGTCAGCTTCCTGTGTCCTTGCTGAGCCAGCAGGGCCTCCAGCACCCAGGAGAGGTCACAAGGAGGCTCGGGCACCTTCGCAGGGGCCACCGCCCTCAGCCAGCCCCCCAGCCTAAGGCTAGACGCTGCACACATACGATGGCTCCCACAGGCCAGCGGGTAACTCCTCAGACAACAGCCAACCACGGTCCCTGACCCCAAGCGCCCACAGAGACCCACGCCCCACCGAGTGCCCAGGGCCACTGCTCCCCGTGTGCACGGCACTGAGCCCAAAGCCCCGGACGCAGACCTGCTCCGCGACCTCAATCTGTGCGTTTCATTCAACAAGTAACACTGTTTGAAGACCCCGCGAGCTGGCCTGGGTCCTTGCCCCACGTGTCACCCCGTGGACAGGTGGCCACCCCTCTATAGCGTCTCAGACCCATCTCCATGGAGCCCCCAGGGTGGTGACTGTCCCAGTCCCGGTGCTGCCTCCCCCAGCCCCCCCAGCTCTGTGTGTGGCGGGGACAGACCGAGGCAGGAAGCCATCCCCCACGGAGGGCATTTAAACTCGATTTAAAAATGATCCGAATGAAAAGCTGTCATTTTCAGAGCATGGTGGAGAAACGGTCTCGGCGCCATCCCTCTGCCCTCGGGCTCACACAGGGCGAGGTTCCCGCCGGACGCCTTCTCGCAGGCAGACCCCGCCCTGCGGCCCGTTCCCTCCACGCTCCGCTCTCCGCGGACGCTGCGGTTCACCGACCGACGGGAGCAGCCCTGCAGCCGGCGCGTCTGCGGTACCCTCTTCCCTGCATCTCACACTCACCACGTGTCTCTGTGGCCCATTCTGGTCATTCTCACGGGATTTCAAACGCGGTCATCACGCTGTCGCACACGAACTAGACTACAGTACAGTGTGACCATGACGTCTACATGCGCCAGGAAACCAAAAATTCCGTGCCACTCGCTGTACTGCGATATTTGCTTTACTGAGATGGTCGGGAACCGAACCCTAGTATCCCTGAGGTCTGTCTGCACACGCGAACATGCATGAGATATAATTACGGAAGGAAACTACCACAGGCGGTTCCCTCGATCCTTCAATGTCAGGAACTCCTAAGTCCCCACAGCACAACGGCCAGGAGGTCCTGGACTCCAAGACAGGCTCTAACATCCCTCCAACCGGACAGACAGGCCTACTGAGGCCGCAGGGTCGGCGCGGCTCCCAGCTCCCAAACCCCCTCTTGGGGCTGGGGTACTGACAACAGACCTGTCTTCTCAGCCCCCTTCTGCACCAGTCACATGGCCACAGGAAAAGGCCACCCAGGTGACAGGCAGGACAGCCAGGACACCACGTGCCTCTCATGGCCCCTGGGCCCTCACTCTCCCCACAAGCGGTGCACAGACACAGCTGTCTGGCATCTCCACACCCCTGCCCTCGTCTGGGAGGAAGGCTGGGCGGCACGGGGACGGTCAGGTGCCATCCCTGTCCTTGCCAGTCACAACACAGCACGGAAACCAAACCACGTCAGACAGCAGGAAGGGCAGGGAACTGCAGGGCCATGGGCCTTTTCCAGGTCACACTCAGCGTCTACACATCAGAGTAGAAAAGAGTTGCTCACACGGGGGACTCGCTCGGTGACAACCCACACCCGGCTTGGCTGGCTGCTTTCCTTGCCGCTTGGAGCCCCCAGAGCCAGAGGGACAAGGCCAGGACGGACCCCCAGAGCCAGAGGGACAGGGGCAGGACGGACCCCCAGAGCCAGAGGGACAGGGCCAGGACGGACCCCCAGAGCCAGAGGG